GGCGGCCAGATGACATCAACAACTTTGAACCATAGACTCTCATTAGTTTCTGCCAGTTCTGGTTCGTGAATCTGGTATCTCTATCACTAACTATAGACAATGGGACTCCGTGGTCACTAACCCAATAATAAAAAAACTTCTGAATAACTGACTCCGTACGGGCCTCTACAGGCAAAGGAACAAAAACTGCATATTTACTGAATCTATCAACTATGACCATGACTTGGCTTTTACCGTGTCTACTCTTGACACCGGCATCCATAAAGTCAATGGAGACTGAATCTCCCGGCTGGTCTGGGATAGGCAAGGGTTTGAGAAGACCTAGGGGGGCACTCATAGTGGTCTTGTTCCTCTGGCAAACTTTGCAACTGCGAACATACTCTATGCAGTCAACTTTCATTCCTGGCCAGGTATACGCACGCATCAGATTGGCTAGAGGCTTCTGCCAACCGAAGTGTCCCTCTGTGTCATGACATTCCCCTAAGATCAGGCTACGGATCTCCTTGCTGTTGGGAATGCACAAGTGGTCTACTACATTAGTCTTCTCAAACAATAGTCCCTCAGTAGTGCGGTGGTCTGGTTCGGTCTCAGGTGAGGAGGTCACTATAGATAGGGTCTTGCGCATACGCCTGTCGGGCTTTCTCTTGCAGGTCCTTTCCTATGTCCAGATAGTGCACTATAGCTCCAAAGTAGTCTGATCTCCTACTTAGAGCATCCGCAACTATGTTGTACTTGCCTTTGACCGGTTTGAGCTCAAAGTCATACTGGTCTATCTGAGCGGCCCACCTAGTCAACTTAGGTGTCATTTTGGCCTGGGTCTTTAACCATCTAAGCGTTTCATGGTCAGAGTATACTTTGAAGTGCCTCCCAAGCAGGTAATGCTTCCAATGCTCTAAGGCCTGCCTGAGAGCGTAGAGTTCTCTCTCATACGTCGAGGTGGCTACTTTCTCTGAAGGCATCCTCGTTGGCATGAACTCCACGGGTCTATAGCCATTGTCGTCGTCTTGCTGCAACACGGCGCCTATGCCATACTGACTCGCGTCTGTGGTGACAACAAATGGCAAAGACGGATCAGTTACTTTGAGGTCAGGGTACTCTATTAACGTGCGCTTCAGTTTCTTTAGCGCAGCCGTACAATCTTTGTCCCATTGCCAGATTGCCTCTTTCTTAAGCAACCTGCGCAAGGGAGTGGCGATAGTAGAGACGTTCCTAACGAACTTCCTATAGTAGTTAGCTAGGCCTAGGAATGACCACAACTCAGTCAACGTGCGGGGCGTCGGCCAGTCTCTAATTGCCGCTATCTTGCTGTCCTCAGGCTTAATGCCATCTCCGTCTAGCACGTGGCCCAAGTACAAAACTTGTGTCTTGGCCCACTCGCACTTCTTTGGGTTGATCTTGAAGTTAGCCTCTCTTAGCTTCTCCAAGACCTGCCTCAAATGACCCTGATGCTCTTGGGCCTGCTGAAAACTAATATATCATCTAAATAAACTACTACAAACTTATCTAACCAAGGTCTAAACACATCATTGATACAACGCTGAAAGGTAGCTTGCGCGTTGGTTAGTCCAAAGGGCATCACTATGAACTCATAATGCCCATATCTAGTCCGGAATGCAGTTTTGTACTGGTCATCATGATGGACCTCTATCTGATGATATCCAGACTTCAAATCTATCTTAGAGAAATACTTACAACCCTACACCCGATCTAGAAGATCATCTATCCTGGGCAGCGGTTCAACATTCTTCACAGTAATTGTATTCAAACCCCTATAGTCTATACACATACGAAGCTCTCCTTCCTTCTTGGGGACAAACAGGACTTGTGCTCCAAAAGGAGACGAACTGGGCCTGATCCAAACTTTCGCGAGGAGCTCGTCTAACTGCTCGGGTAGCTCCTCTAACTCCCTCGGGGACATCCTGTAGACTGCTCCCTTAGGAGTCCTACTGCCAGGCTCTATCTCTATCCTGTGCTGGATGGGTCGCGGCACTACTCCTATCGGCGACTCAGTCAAATCTTTGAATTCCTCCAGCAGCTTGGCAATGGTTGGGTCTATGGAACTATCTCCTTCCTTAGCCTCAGTGACAGGCCTCACATACACTACGAAGACCTGATCCTCTAACTGCTCCTTTTTCACTAGTCGAGCGAACGTTGGAGCACTGAGACAACAATGTGTCAAGGTGTTATCTACACCTGACACATGAAATGGGCGGGCAGTCTTAACCTGGCCTGACGGACTAGGGAGCCTACACTCATGCTCTCTTAAGTGGAGTGTGGGCCCTGCTGCCTCTCCCCAATCCATTCCTAATACTATATCAAAAGGAAGGTCGTCTTGAACGAGGAGAGTCAGGGAATGAAGAACTTTCTCCACCTTCCCATCTTTCTCTAGGCGAAAGTACGCCTAGACTCCCTCTACGTAGTCCTCAACTCGCATCGTGCGGTTGTCTGCGAGGACACTGACTATGGGGTCTGCCAACTTTTGGACTTTTAATCCTAGCCTCAGCTTCTTCAGCGCCCTACGACTAATAAAATTGCGGGTGGCCCCTGAGTCTATAAGGGCCCCTACTCTACTTCTAAACACTTCTACATCTACCAAGATCAATTGTCCCTTACTCTCTTCTTAATTTTGGCCCAGGTTGGCATCCTCTCCTTCAGCTCTTCTGCCACACCTGTGAGGGGCGTTCCTAGAGAGACGCTAACACAAGCAGTCTCTGGACAGCCAGCTAGGCACGGGCCTGCAACCTCTGCCATAGGCTCCTGTGGTTTGGGAGTTTCCTGTGTTCGCGCGCTCGCTTCCCCACATGGCCTTGAAGGAGGGGCAGTTGCGACCCCTACTGGCGGCTGCCTTTTGACTGCTGAGCAGCCCATCGGGCCTGCCTGTACTTAGGACAAAATTTAATTACATGGGCCGGGTCACCACAGAATACGCACTGACCCAAGTCCACGCGTTTCTGCCATACGCGCTGGTCCAAGCCCAAATCTTCCCAGGGCCTGCCCTGTGACAAGCCTGGGTGCCATCCTCCTTGAGGTGGCCTTCCACCTCGTCGCTGTGGGACCGACAAGAACCCTGGCGATTTGACGGGGGACCTTGACCCCGACCTCCCACTTGGTGGTTCCCTTGTCCGCCAACCCCCTGTGCGCCCGGTCCTCGGCCTCCCATGGCCTGGCCCCTTTGGCCCTGGCCTCCTCCTCTACCTTGCGGCCTCCCTGCAGCCGCGACAGCCGCATAAGACCTCCCCTGCCCTATGCTGTTGTCATCCTCCTCTAACCCCCACTCAATCTCACTGTAGGGGATCTCATCTGTACCACCCTCTTTTAACGTGAGGAACATATGATCCTTGGCCCTCACTTGGCCAGAGATGGTACGACCCTTCCACTTCTTTCCTTTGTCCAAGTCCTTGTGCCAGAAAGTGGACACTGACATGGACTTTGACTCATACAGGACCACCTCTCTACTCAGCACATCATAAGTGATGTCGGCCTGTTGAGACCTCTCAAAGAAATGCCCACGCAGGGGCTCGGTCATGGCACGATAAAACAATTGGACCAACTGGGGCGTAGTGACCCCGTGGTCTGGGATGGCTACCAAGTCGTCCATAACGCCCTTGAGTGCTCTTGCACTCCTCCACTGTCGTGAGTGGATGGTCTGTAGCTTATTAGAGGCTCTAACTCCTATCGTTGGGTCAGCAAATCTCTCCCTTAGGACTTTGAAGAATTGAGAAAGGGTGGTGATCTTAGAATATGCAACCATGTTGTTTTCACAATTGGCTGCGCGCGCAAGAGATCTGGCAAAACTGGCCGCTTCATCTTTGAGGGTCTGGAAGGCGATGAGGACTTGCTCCTCAGTCAGGATGTGTTGTAAGTACACATAGCTATTCACGCTGGCCTCCCAGTTATCAAAATTCTCCTCTTTCTTCCCCCCGTATGCATGTGGGAATTTAAGCCTAACGGGCTCCTTACGAGGCTTGGCCTCACCCTCTACAACGGCTATTGCCTTGGCACCTTCGATGGCGCCCTCGCAGAACTTCCCCACGGTGTCTTTCAGTCGCCTAACTTCGCCTCCAACGTGGGTGACCATGTCACGTGCAAAATCCCTAAATCCTGACCGCATGGCACTCAGGGCTACCTCTTGAGCCCTGTTGGCTTGGCGTTCCTCCATCCAAGTCGCGCTCAACACCTCCAGGTACCCCAACACCTTATCCATTTTGGCCGAGGTGTCTGCCTGAGCCTGCACCTCCTGCCTACAATCTTTCACCTTCACCACCTCTGCGGTCAACCTATTAACTTCGTCCCTCCTTCTCTTCTTTTCCCTCTTCATTCTCAGTTTCCACTCCAACTTTTTCTCTTCTTCTCTTTCTCGCCGTTCCAGAGGGTCCTCCATGGCTGCTAGCTCACTGGCTAACGCATCCCTCTCGTCCTGGGGCACATAAAACTCTGCCTCCTCATCTTCCCCCAATGATAAATTAGCAATCCACTCGCTGATTTTCTTCTCCATTGCAGCGTCCTCATTCGTCGTGCCACTACTCTCTCCTTTTACTTCCCTGTGTTTCCTCTCTTCCTCTGCCTCTGCCGCCGCTTCTTCTTCAGCAACCTTCTTCTTTTTCTCCATCTCCTCCTCCAATTCGTTCATCTTCACCGCCTGCTCCTTTGCGATTGCCTTCAGCTTCGCCTGTTTCAGGAACTCTTTCCTCTCCTTATTCTCTCTCACTAAGGCGACCATCTTCTCTTGCTGTTCCTGGGTGTAGGGGCTAGTGCTGGTCCCACTACGGGTCTCAACCATGGTGATAAGTGCACAACCGGATTACGGTTCCAAACCTCACCACGTAGACTCTAACCCCTGACTGACAAACCTATTAACTCAATCTAAGACTCACAGAATCCGGACAGGGATCCTGCCGACTAGGGTCTCTAGCCTAGACCTACACTATGGCTGTCACTACTAGACCTGTTGCTGATCAGGAGGCATTTAAGGAGATCCCCCGTAACTCCTCGAGAATTATTTAACATCGCAAACAGGACGACGTGATCAACAGGTCTCTCAACACTTAGACTGCCAATTGCGCAGCCCACAACTCAGCCTTTCGGGCCTACCGTGCCACACCGAGCAGCCCGCCGTCTGTACCGGTCCTTGAGAGGGTTGGGCCTCCAGGACAGACGAGTCGTCAGACACAGTCTTTAGCCCGACTAGGTCCGGTAGGCGTTTGGTCAACAAGGCCTATCCTTCATCCACAGAGTACTATCACCTAGACAAAAGAGACTCGATGCAGAAAGAAGAGACAAACATACTGGACTCAGCAAGAACCACAGGGTGTGTGCACATCCATAGGGCAAGGGATAGGCTGAAGGCTTGGCAAGATTATACCGGCTCCAGCTTGGTCAAAATCTTGGTCAATGCCTGAGTCAACGCTTGGTCAACGTTTGGTCAGCACTCAGTCAACGCTCCATTCAACCCTCGGTCAACCCCCGGTCAACGGCGGTCAACCCTGGTCAACGCCTCCGGTCAACTCCCCGGCTATGGCGGCCGGCTTCACCTTCGTCTCCACCCTTCACCTTCCTTCCCTTCACCTCAACTCTTCCTTCCTCACCCTGACTGTCTTCTTTTTTTTTTATTTTTATTTTTTATCGTCTCTCTCTTCGCCTCCTCGGCTATGGCTTCTCTCTCCCTTCTCAGTCTCTCCCCCTGTCCACTCTCTCTCCCTCCTTCGTGACTCCGTTGTCAAGCTCTGCTGCTATGGCCGCCTTCCTCTTGTTTGTGGACTGCCCGACAGCTTCACAGGTATGGAACAACCAAACTTGTATCGCTCATCTCTCTCTCTCTCTCTCTCTCTCTCTCTCTCTCTCTCTCTC